ATTCGGCCAATCACAACGCACTGGATAGCTGGCCAATCAGAGCACACCTCGCTTTTCAGAAAGGCGGGGCATAGAGGAGAAACAATAATGTACAGTATGTGGAAAATAATGTTTTTTTAACCTTAAACCGCATAAACACATTTCATTACACCAAATAACAAAATAATGTTCTTTTTAGCAACATCATATGACCCCTTTAAAAGCGCCTGCTAAAAGCATAAATGTAAATGTTACTATTATAAAATTAATGTATAATATTCATCATATAAATTCATATTGTTTTATACTTATTTAATATAAAAGGTGAGAAATTTCAGAAACTTTCAACTAAGGTTTTATTAAAAACATCAGCTTATTTACCCGCTTCAGGTAAAATCCGGAGGTCTCCGTCTTTGTAGTCGTCCCAGAGCTGGTACATGTAGAGCACGGGGTCCTTCTCATATGTGATGTAGTACCAGTTGGTCATGATGGGTGCTCGGGACAGGACCATTCCCCTCCACTCGTTCTTCTCTCCGTCCTCCTTCTCAAACAGATGCTCCACGGCTTTTCCCACCAGCTCCTCTGCGTCATGAGGAACCTTGATCTTGTTGTTCACTTCAAAGGGTTAGGAAACAGCAAAATGACTAAATGAGCATTCAAGTGTTTTACAGTGATTTTACCCTGCTTAGGAGCTCTGGTTGAATTTTATATTAATACATACTGATTAAGAAAAAGTTTTACATTTGAAAAACAGGAACGTAATGGGCTGCATTAAGTCTGGTGGAGTGCAAATCGAGGCTCATTTTACAACTCAAACTCTCATGATTATAATTTTAGCGATTTTATATTGCATAGCATTCTGTCTTAGATCGTATCAAATACACATGGTTTATGTAACAGATACACATACTGTGCATTAGTCTAAAACAATATTATTTAATAATATAAAATATAATTTAATTAAGTATATTAATATAATTATAATTAGTTTATTCATATAATTATAAATATAAAATATATAATTATAAATATTACTATAATTAATATATACATATATAATTATATATTATATATATATTAATAATATTAATATAATTATAATTTAATTCAGCAGGGAACAAGTGATGGAATGCTAGGTTTCTCCAAATCTGTTCTGATGAAGAATCTTAGTTGACCGGAGGGGGAGGACACTTTCAGAAAATTTTCATTTTTGGGTGAACTATTCCTTTAATTCACTGACCAATAGTGATGGCAATCCATGGCACGTCCATATATATCACGCTAAAATTCATTTACTATGGTATTTACATGTTACACAAACCCTGGTATCCCTGCAATGCCATCATATGTCAAAGTAACATGGTACTGCCATTCTGATACAGCACATTAATATTGTTTTTACTCACCTGGCCCTTTTCTTGGACATGTTTCCAAAACCTCAAACACGCCTAGAAGAGAAAAATGACAGAATTACAAGTAAACCAACAGGTTTGCTGGTCTTGGTTTCAGTCAAGACACTGCAAGCGAAAGCATTGTTTTGAATGCACTGGTCAGTTTTGAGAGTTTGGGCTATTCTGCTTCCATAACATTCCATTTATCCACTTCAGAAGCATTTGCTACACTAAACTTTACAGTTTTATTCCTGTCTATGTTCTAAACATTTTTACGGAAGGGTTTCATCATATACCATTTGCCTATTTTTATCAAACATTTTATTAATAAAAACATGGTGAAAAATAGTAATACAAAACAGTTGTCTTCATGTACAGTGTTTATTCAGCTGGGAAGTATGGTGGTAATGTTCACCTGTGGTGTTTTTAGGGTAAAGAGCAACAATACAGATAACACTTTCATTTCAGCGTATAGAAACTGATGGGAGTGTCAGCATATGGTTGGCCACATGATTTTGACAGCTCCATTCAGTCCTAAATCTACTACAGATAAATCTACTACATTCGTTCAAATGTTACAATGTTTCAAGAATTGTTAAACAGATACATGACTGTATAATGTTACATATGTGTAACGCCACGTTGTCTTTTGTTATTTTGTAGCCTTGACACATTAATCTGGCCTCTGATTGGACAATGACTCAACAGCGCCCATGTTGCATCATTACATCGAATCTGCGGCATGTATTCATGTGTTCATGGTTTAATATCGAGTTAAAGTTGACGTGAAATCCCCGCAGAACACGAGACATCCACAATATTGCGGCATAATAGAGGCCAGTTTATTTTTCATGTCTTACTATGTGAAAACTGTGCTGTTTCTGCATATATCGACCAATATATAACATTCACATCCTAACTACCATATCAGACATCGGTAATGCAACTAAATGAGTGCTGAGAATCTATAAAAAGCCACAGAATCGGGTCGTTTCGCTGCTTCACATGAAAACCACCAACGCAGCTATAAAACGCTGGTGTTTCTATCCTCTGCGCAACCGGCAAAGTCCGCTTTACCTTCGTATTTAATCGTCATACACACTCTAAATTCCACGTGAACACGTGTTTTTGTATAAATCGTAAGAAAAGCAAGATTACCTGGCCTCTATTTTCATGTCTATGATGGACTTCCCTCTGCAGAGATCCTCATGTAAAATGCTCGTCCAGACGTCACGCAACAAGCTGGCACGGCCGGTTTAAACTACAGCTCCCATAATGCAATGTCGATGAGAATAGCTCGAACAGCGGGAAGAGAATTCTGGGAGATGTAGTGAGAGGGTGTGTGAACTCGGAAAGGGGCGGATTGATTCGCATTCTTCCTGTGTCTTCTGTTTGACTGCCACTATGTTTAGGATCAAACAAAAGCCATTTATACAAGGACTAACTAAACTTACCAATGACTTACTAAAAAAACCCCTGCATAAAAGTCATCAGAGATGATAAAATCTCTCTGGATGTTATTGTGAACCTTATGGGCGGGTAAATGTTTACTACTTTTATTAGCACTGACGGAACTACATTTCCCAAAATGCACCAAGACTTTTCTTTGTCATTCCTTTGGTCAGCTTTGGAGGAATGGGCCTTTGCTTTATTCGAAGCGTGTTTCTTATCCCATGTAAAAAGAAAAAGAAAATAAAAAAAAGATGTATTGTATTAATATTAAAAAAAAAAATATGTAAAAGATACAAAATGTATAATCCCCAAAATAATCCTTGTGTTTTGTACAGAATAATATTTTAAGTTTTTTTTTTTTTTTTTACAGTTGTTTATACAGAGTTCAATAAATATATAACGAGAAAAAATGCAGCTTTACATTTCTGAATTTGCACCTGAAACCGAAAGTTATGCATATTTAAATATATTTAAATGACAGGTCTTGAATCCATACAATTGTTCATTGTAATGCAATGCTGTGGATTCAGGGTCCACTGCATAATATTTAATATTCTCCACTAGAGGACACTAGTGCTCCATTTTCAGAACAACAGGACAGTATAAACCTGGTATAAACACAAACTTACCAATAGTAAATACGTTGTCATTCAACGTTCTTCCCCAAGCTTCTTCTTTGTGAGATAAAAATAAATAAATAAAAATAATAGATCACTCACCAAATGTTTAGTGTTACTGAACAGTGATTAACAAGAAAAAAAAAACAGGTTAAAAATGAGGTGAAAGACTACATAGAGTTTATTTTGAATAGCATTATAGACAATTCATCATATATAATTATAATTTCTATATCGTAAATTATATATTATTAATTTATAATAATATAAACAAGATTTCTGATATAAAATGTACAAAAATATTAATAAAAAAATTAATTAAATAAAAAATAATATTCAATACCAGCTGGATCCTACACTGAACATTATAAAAAATTAAAATTAAATTTTTAAAAAAGCTGCAATGTGTGTTTGTGTGTGTGAAGGCTTGTCTTTGCAGTGCTAAACACAGACTAATCATGTTGTCTTATTGATTTCTAGATCTAATTTTCACTATTTTATTTCTGTAACTTCGGGTCCCGAATGCTGAGCAATGAATCACTGGACTGAGTGAAGATCTGGGATTTGAAGGATGTCTCAGGATGTCTCTTGACTGAGTCAGACGTGTTTACAGGCCTTGTGCAATTTATAACTCAAAATATACCTCAGACAGCGCTAACTAAATTCTCATTCTGTGTCGTTCTCTACATTCTGCTAATAAAAATGCAGTTGCTGACACATTGGATGGCTTTTCTGGAGGTCATCCTGGCAGTCAAGATCTATCACTATCCTCCATAAAGCAACTCAGGGCCATCAGAACAAAAACAAGCAGGCAGTAAAACAGTTTCCCCGGGACGGTGGCTCTCATCAACAGCTAAGGTCTTCTCTGCATGAGATGTTCTTTTTGATGCTCTTATTTTTGTCCACGTATTCTTCATGCTGACTACTGCACTGCTTATTATTTGTTACAGATCACAAAGGCTGATGTGTCACTTAAAAAAATTGCTTAAAAAATTAACACATTTTGTAAAAAATGCAATATGATAAAAGACTAAAAGTAACAGAACAATTAAAGGGGTCATATGATGTTGCTAAAAAGAACATTATTTGGTGTAATGAAATGTGTTTATGCGGTTTAAGGTTCAAAAAACACATTATTTTCCACATACTGTACATTATTATTTCTCCTCTATGCCCCGCCTTTCTGAAACACATCGGTTTTTACAAAGCTCATCGTTCTGAAAAGCGAGGTGTGCTCTGATTGGCCAGCTATCCAGTACGTTGTGATTGGCCGAATACCTCAAGCGCGTGAAGGAAATGGTACGCCCCTTACCATACTGTGATGCCATGTCCCGGCCGGAGCGACGAGACAAAAACATTAAAACCCATTATAAACGAGGCATTTGTTGCATCCAGTGGGGACATAATTACGGATTATAATGACTTATACAATCTTTTTACGCATTGCTTTGCGCCACATAAACATAAAACCATGTCTGCATTTGTGATCGGAGAAATGACAAACAACAAGCGCTACTCTACACTGCCCCAAAAACTCACGTTTGAATCATCAGGCGCAAATTCTTTAAATATAAAAAACTAGTGAGTTAAAACAGCTGGCATTGTAGTCTACTCTACCAGGATCAGGAAACAGTCCTCCATAAAATGCGCTGGACACAGTGTTGTAAATACAGCTTAACCGCTGATTTCTAGTCGTGTCCTCTTTTGGAAGGCCAAACAAAGTAGTTTCGCTTTCACAACGAAACACAGCGTCACACACCGCGGCCTTGAGTGAGCAGAGGCCGGGGGCTTGAGAACGGCACGGCTGGTGGATTTGACGAAGGAGCGTCCGGCAGGCTTGCAGCAACCACATGTGACGACTCCGGGCTGGACTCCGCTTCGTCCACGGTGAAAGCCGATCCGGCGATCCACAGCGCGAAGTTGATGTATTACAGTCTTTTTATGTGTTGCGTTGCATCGCGCCACATAAACATAAAACCATGTCTGCATTTGTGATCGGAGAAATGACAAACAACAAGCGCTACTCTACACTGCCCCAAAAACTCACGTTTGAATCATCAGGCGCAAATTCTTTAAATATAAAAAACTAGTGAGTTAAAACAGCTGGCATTGTAGTCTACTCTACCAGGATCAGGAAACAGTCCTCCATAAAATGCGCTGCACAC